CCCTCGAGGGGTAAACGTGTTTGATGTTGAGCCTGGGCCCCTCGAGGGGTCAAAATGTTTCCTGTTAAGCCTGGGCCGCTAGAGGGGTCAAAATGTTTCATGTTAAGCCTGGGCCCTTTGAGGGGTCAAAATCTTTCATGTTAAGCCTGGGCCTTTGGAGCGGTCGAAAATGTTTGATGTTAAGCCTGGGCCCGTCGCGGGGGGTCAACATTTTTCATGTTTTAAGCCTGGGCCTCTCCAACGGTCAAAATGTCCACCGGCCCTAAGCAATGCGGCCGTTTTCGTAGCCCCTAGAATCTCCCGAGAAATTCGTCCCCAAACGGGAGGAAGTCTAGGAAACCCGAAAATTGTTTCGTTTTCAATTACCTCTAGGACAGAAATCGCCGTTTCATGAGCCCCTAGAATTTCTCGAGAAATTCATCCCCAAACGGGAGGAAATCTAAGCAGGCCGGAAATTGGCTCCGTTTTCAATTACCTCTAGGACAGAAATCGCCGTTACATGAGCCCCTAGAATCTCCCGAGAAATGCATCCCCATATGGGAGGCTCGCTGAGAGTGGGTATAGTGCGTATCCCCACGCCCAGATAATGTATACAAGGGGGGGGATGTACTCCAATTTGAAATCCACCGCCCAGCGGGGGAAACGTATACAGGAGGGGGCTGGATTTCGGATAGGCAGCAGACATCGATGGAGGATTGAGATGGCTTGAGTTTTGTTCGCGCTGTGCTTCATAGGCATTGTGGTGAATTGTTGTGGAAGTGCATGTTCTTATTTTATGTGCTCTGATGTCGCCGATCACGGCCTCCGTGATGAGATATGATGAGGTTTTCCGGGAAACCCATGGACACATCATCATGGCATGTTAGTGCTGATGCAAGCACTTGCAAACAGTCAGCTGTAGCTTTCGTCCTCAGACGCTATAATCTCCTAGCAGGGGTCATGAATGCTCATCAGCCTCGCAAGGCTTTCATTCGCATTCAGGATCATGTAGGGGTAGACATTGGCTGGCAATGTCGGGCACGCTGGCGGCTGATCAGCCGGGTTTCACTTATCCGCAGATCCCCCTTACTCAAGAATGCGCGCCTCGGCTGGCTTCAGCCCATTTCTCTGTTTTATCTTGCCCTGAAGGTGCATGAGCTGCAGGGGAAAGTGTAAGGAATTGTTGTGCTCAGGCAGTCTTATCGTGTCCCTACAAGATGGGCACGATATGGTTCGACAAAAAGCTGAGCATCTACAGAAGCAGGTAGGGCTGATCGGCGGTTTTGCAGAGCAGCAAAAAAAGGAAACAGAGATTGTTCCCCCTTGTGTTTGTGCTCTGGGCTAGGTGCGCAGCAACCTTTCTCACTGCGGCGGGAAAATCAAGACACTCACACCATGAGTGTTGGACGTTGCGTGGCGGCAGTTGTAGCAGCTTCCTAAAATCCAAAATTAAAATGTGTCCAAGCTGGAGCAGACGCAGTGCTCCGTGGTCCGAGGCTTGGCTCCCAGGTTCCGTGGCAGAAGGCGCTGCGGACCCCAACAGTGTCGCTGGTCAGCAAGCTGAAAAAGAAACAGACCCCGCGCCACAAGTTGCTTGTTCACTGAGCCTATGCACTGACCTCAGGATTGGCACTTGCGCTCTGACGAGGCCGTCATTTCGCTGGTTGCTTGCAAATTGATTGAAATCTTTGCTAGGATGGCGGGTTGCCAAGCCATGCGGGCGGCCAGGCGGCTGCAGACTTGCTCAGGCAGACTGCAACGGCTAGTTTTTCCTCGCGCCAGGTTGGGGATCTTGAAGTCCAGACGGATGGCAAGGAGGTTGGCAGCTCTCGGCAGAGTTCAGGCACCCTCGCGCAGTTCTGATGGGCCAACTTGCGACCACCAGGCTGTTTGCTCACTTGTGGCCCAGAAGGTCCCTTAATCGCATTTTTTCCTGCTGGCTTGCCAGGTCAGTTCTTCGCAAGGCCAAGCAGACGATCAACTTGGACATCAGGTGGCCGAGGTGGTCAGCTGTGTTGCACGCACACTCAAGCTGGCTGCATTTGGGACCATCAGCAGTTTGAACATCAGCTGGCCCAGGCAGTCAGCTCGTTTTCTGATCCCAGCTGTGTTGCAAAGACTCCCAAGCTGGCTGGCAGGTGGGGCAAGCGGACCATCAGCTTGGACATTGCGTGGCCGGAGGCGGTCAGCTGTACGTGTTGCAGACATACTCAAGCAGGCTGCCAGGTGGAGCAGGCGGACGATCAGCAAGTAAAAGATCAGGTGACTGGCGACATCTGGCGTCCAGGTGGGGCAAGCGGACCATCAGCTGGGATATCAGGTGGTCGAGGCGGTCGGCTCCTTTGCGGCCTGCTGTGTAGTAGGATGTAGCAGGCAACACCAAACCGGCTGCCAGGTAGGGCAGACAAGCCTCGAGCACGTTGAAGGCTTCAAGGAGGCTGGCTGCTTGCCGACCGGCAGGGTTTCGCTTGGGATACGGCAGCGCCCTTTATTTAGATTAAGACACCGGGTTCAGGAATAGCATGGAGTAGCAAAGATGTAGAAGGATTCCGAGATCCCGGAAAGATACGAAAAAGGGCATTGGCCACATATGGCTATCCAGATATGCCCGGTCATGAGACTTCCGAAGCATTTGGGATACATGGCGCTTTCATCTTCTAGCAGCTCCACGTCCATCGTAGCCACGTCCCTTGCGGATTCGGGTGGCTCTTGGTGCTCGACACGAGCCGCGTCTCCTTTGCTGCAAATTTTGCCACGCAGCCCCTGAACCATAAATCCGAACCAGCCTTTATCTGCAACATTCTGCAACCAAAGCTGTGACTCAGGACAGTGATGACGAGATGGAGTGGCGCGAGATGGCTTATCCTTCACCTAGAACACCAGAGGAGCTGCTGCAGGCAGCTTCCTTTTGTTGGCTTTTGCTTCCAACCATGTCAAGCCCCAACCCCGAAACCATCCTGAACCCATCTGAACCCCAGACCCTGAACCCTACTCTCAAACTCCTTACTGAATCTTTGCGGCAGGGACCTGGCCGAGATATCCGAGGAGGAGGATCTCTCTCTGGTTATGAGTGATACAAGTACAAAAAGGGCTGTCCAGTTTCTGAGTTGGGGGCAAAAAATCGAGGATAGTTGTAATATGTTTTAACCTAAGCCCTTAACCCTAAACCCTTTAGCAGTCAGAAGTTGCACAAAGGGGACTTGGAAGTCTGTAACGCGCTAGCCTCGCACAAGGGCTTGGAGATCTACGTCAACCACCACCACATCCACCCGGAAAACCAACCCCCGTTCTCAAGCCGAGATAGGGGGTCGGCCGTCGGTGATTTTTTTATTTGTCCACCACCACCATGACCACAGCCATCACTGCCACCATCAGCACCGCCATCAGCACGATCACGTACGATCACTGCCATCACCACCACCATCACCGTCACCACCATCACCAACATCACCAACATCACCACCACCATCACCACCATCGCCACCGCAATCACCATCGCCATCACCATCACCGCCATCAGCACCACCATCACCACTAACATCACCACCACCATCACCACCACCATCACCACCGCCATCAACACCATCAGCACCGCCATGACCATCACCACCACCATCAACACCATCAACACCGCCATGACCATCTCCACCACCACATAACACCACCACCACCGCCGCTGCCACCACCACCGCCGCCACCACCACCACCACCACCACCACCATCACCACCATCGCCATCACCAGGATCATCACCATCACGGAGATTATCATGTTGATCATTCTTTGGCTGCCTGACCATAGTGTACGGTGTACAGTGTACAGGTTAGACTGTTAGACTCGACATAGGGCCACAGGGAGTAGGATTAGGATTAGGGCAGGGTCGAAATATAATCAATGCACTCGGCAGGATGCACTGAGCCCAACATGACCCGAAACTCCTAAACCCTTAGGCCCTAAACCCTAAACCTTATCTCTCTCATCCTAAAATAACCAATGTGATACCTCCAGCCCTGACATTTTCGTGGTCCGAGGTTTCTGGAGGGCTTCTCAAAGCTGCAGTTCACCAAGGGTGGCTACTGGATGGTCAAGGTCCAGACAGACCTCAAGGTCTGGCTGAACCTCTCGAGAAACAGGACTGGATTTGGCTTTGTGGGTAGGGTTGTAGTTGTAGGGTAGGGATTGTAGGGGTTGTTTTGATTGGATGGGTATGAGTTGCTCTTGCAAATATCAAACAAAAAAGAATTCAGAGAAACGATGGGGTTCCAGGTTTCCATTCTGTTCAGCTCAAGTGTGTTGATCAGGTTCAGTTGCAGGGCACCAGATTCGGATCAGGGGCGTGGGCCAGCAAAGTTGGCGTGTTGCTCATTGAATCATTGGGGGGTGAGTGTACCTCAGTCTAGCTGCTAGCTGAGTCTCGCTGTCTAGTCTAGGGCCTAGGGGTCTAGGGAGTCTGGGGTTTAGCTAACTGCTAGCTGCTAGCTGCCGCCCTTTACTGAAGTCCAGAAGCATGTGTAGGTATAGCGCAACATAGAGCAATGTAGGGTATGTTGAGCAGCTAGCAGCTTGCAGCTAGTGGCAGCTAGTCAGGAGCAGTTCTCATATAGTTTCGTGCATGCTTCAATGCATCAGCTTCAACTCAGATCATGGTGGACGCAAAATGCTTGCTTTCATCATGGGGACATCCTGTCAGAGCGCGATCACAAAAGGCGTATGGCCCAGGGCATAGGGTCTAGGGCCATATTTAGGTCTGGGTGTAGGGCAGTGTAGGGAAGCAATGTGAAGCAACATGTGCCAAAGCTAGTGCCAAAGATGCTAAGAAGATATCACGGTTGTAGTGACACTGCTAGACAAGTAGACTACAGCTTTCACTTTCAACTGCAGTGACATGCCCTGGGATGTTGTAGCCACTGCTGTTGCTGATGATGAGCAGCCATCCTTGCCACTGGTGCCCTTGCAAGATGAAGGGCATGAAGGGGTTCATGTTGAGCGCAGGGGCCGGAAGAGAGGTTCTGCAGCAATCAGGCGAGCTGTGTCAGCTGAAGCTGAGAAGCTGGAAAGTGAGAGGCATGCAAGGCTTGAAGTCCCTGAGCCATCTGTTCAGAGGCAAGGTGAGCAGTTTGATATCATACAGTCAGCTTTGGGCGCAGTGTCTCACTTGCAAAGGAGGCTTTGCTTGTTTGCTCGGCAGCAGATGGCCAAGCCACCCAGACCTGACGTCAACAATCCATTCGTATCAGTCATGCAGACCTCGCAAAATGTGACCTCATGGAAGGCCAAAGCAATTACTTTTGAAAAGACCATCAAGACAGTGCAGAAGGATTACACACGGGCAGCCGAGGCACTGCTGCAGTCTGCCAGCTTTCTTTGGCATCTCACGTTACAAAGATTGGTTTCCATGATTGATGAGCATGGGTTTGAAGGCCTGGTTTTCATACGCAAACGCCGGTATGATGAGAGCCCTTTCCTATTGAGATTGCGCGAAGAGAGCAATGAGCACTCACGAGGCCCCACAAAGGCGCCTGGAAATGCCAAGGTAATGCAATCAGAGCTGGGGTTTGCTGCCTTGCTGAGGCTCAGAAAACTGAAGCAAGCTTCATCTGCAAACTCTGCTGAGCCTGCTGGTGATGATGATGTTGCTGAGCCTGACAGTGCATATGAGTATGATTACCAAGAGGTGCACGGTTGGTGCCCTACTTGGTTGCATGCGCTGGATAGGACAACTCAGGAGAACATTGCGGAAACTCAGAGACAGGTGCAAGATTCGGTAGTGTTGCCTGAGAAGCTTCTTCAAAGCTTCAAGCTCTTGAGTGATGTGGTTTGCTCGGATGCCTACAGTTCGAATGTTGCAGCTGAGCGGAGCTTGCAAAGTGAGGCGCCATCTTGGACAAAGAGTCACAATTTTTGCCTACTGCACAAAGCCGCATCAGTTCAGGCAGCGCAGTTCAAACTCGTGTCAGGTCATGTTTCGGGCTTGTTGAGCATCAGTTTGTCCATGCAGGCAAGTGGTACTACTGCCTTTCTTCAAGATACTCTAGCAGAAATTCTGCGCGACAAGTTGGAAGTCCGGTATGGTGACCCCCCGGCGCAATATCGAAGTCACCAAGAAGCCATCCATAACTTGTTTCTGCCCACTGGACCAGACAGCAATTCAAGCTTGCTGCATCAGAAGCAGCGGGCAATTCTCAGTCATGTCTTCAATGGTGATCTGCAAGATGACAGTCGCATTGTTTTTTGGACAAAGAACACAGACTTGGTGAAGGATCGTTTGACACCTTTTTGGGTCAAGAAGGCTGTCAAAGGCTTGTTGCCTCACAAGTGCCCGCATTCAACAGATCAAAGTGGCTGGGCGGCGAGCTCACTATCGAATGGGCTGGCCTGTTAGCCAGCTACCATGGCTTGCTGTTGCCTCTGGTTCAGGGCTGGATTTCTAAGACTTCAGATATTCCAATTGGCCCCAAGCCACCCTCCGCGCCCAGTGAACGTGGCGCACAGACTGGCTGGGCTGCTCTTGCAGACCGCCTTGAACTGGAAACAGATCCTTCTGGGCATGTTGACGCTGGCGCTCTTCCTTCTGTTGATTTGCCACAGCAGGAACCTGCTAAAGATGATGTCAATCCAGACGTATCTTGGGCAGAGTTCAACAAGGCGAACAAGCGAAAAGCATTGGCGTATGTTCGCACAAAGCCTGCTGAGGTTCTGGTTCTCATGCGCATTTGCATGAGAGCCAGCCTCCGTCTCATTTTTGTTCTCGTGCATGTGGCTTCTGTCGTGTTTGCGCGAGAGCAGCTGTTGAAGGCTTCCAAAGGTCAGCCTCGAGCTCATCGTGTCTTGGAGGTCTTGTCAGGGAGGGTGCAGGCAATTTTCCAGGATGAAATTGCAGCTTCCATGTCTTCGTGTTTTCCAGGCATGGCAAACACAGGCCGCAGAGAGGCTATCCGGGTGCTGGCTTTTCGCATGCTTTCCGTCAGCCTTTGTGCCGCTCAGCAGTTGGTTTGGCGCTTGGCTGGTAGCTCCTCCGTGGTGCTATTCAATTCTTTGGTGAATGGGGTTGAAGAACTCATGGCTATGGGCCCATGCTTGTATGATGAGCTGACAACCAGAATCATGAGCTTGTTTCCCTCAAGAGGCAGGCTAGCTTCGGAAGAGTGTCAACAAATCTTGCACACGCTAGCCCATCATTTCCAAATCGACATTTTGGATATGGAGCGCAAACACAGCTCCATTCGTAGGACCCTCCAGAGCAAGTCCTTGCACACCTGGGCCACAAGTATGTCAGCAGCCTCAGCCCATTGGGTGGTTAATGCAGTCAATTTGTTGCGGCGCCCTTTTCAAGCCAAGAAAGAAAAGAAAGAGCGCCGCAAGAAGGAGAAAAGGCAAATACAGGGTGGTGGCCCATGGAGAGCATTTCTCCATATTAATGCCAAGACAAAAAGCATGCGTTGGAACAGTGCTTACATGCGCCAAATGTCAAATGAATACAAAGCTGCGATGAGAGGGCCTGACGCGGACATGTTCAGACATTTGGGCGTTTTGGGATCACTGGCAAGCAGAGCGGGGAGAAACAGTTTTCAGAGGCCTCCAAGAGCCCGAGAACAGGCCTCTCGTGCTGCGCAGAACACTGGACTGGCCTTGGACGCTGCAGAGGCTTTTGATGAAGAGCTTGAGGCCTCTTTGGCAAATATCCGAATCAAAAGCAGGAAAGGCACCATGGCGAAAAACAAGGCAGGTGCAGCTGCTGACCAAGAGGTTGAGGGGGTGTCCGCTGCCCTTGCACCGGCTCATGCAGATGGCTTGGCGAAGCAGAATCCTTTGTCGAATCAACTGGGCAATGCCTTCATTTTCACTCCTGGCAAACCAGCTGTGGCTGAGTTTCGTGTTCCTGCAGATCGTTTTTGTCAGGACTGGGCCTCATCAACAACTTCATCTGTAATTATGTCACATAGGGCCATAGGTTTTGTATAAGTTCAAGTACTTAAAATAATACTTTATTAAGTTTAATAATAGATGTTATCAATAGTCAATTTTTATTCGTATCAATGTAATTCCGTGTTGTGCAGGTAGCTCCAGAATTTCATGAGCTTAATATTCAGTATGCCGTATGCTTGAAAGTCACTAGGTCACAAGGTGCGCCAGGTAGGGCCGGTAGGGTCTGGAAGGTCAAGCTTGGTGTGCTGAACCTTTTGTGCTGGCTGCTGGCTTGTTGCAAATAAAATAGGAGTTGAGTCGACTCTAGACTCTAGACTCTAGACTCTAGACTCCAGACTCTAGTGATTCTAGTGATTCTAGTGATTCTAGTGACTAGTGTATACTGCGTATTCTGCGTGACTTGACACATAGTCTATGTCCATGCCATTCTACCATGTCCCAGGAAGGCTAGGGCTAGTGAGGCTAGTGGTGTCTAGCTCCAAGGTCTGGGAGTCTGGGAGTCTAGGTTCAGGCAGGTAAAGTGTAGATGTGTAAGCAGCCAGCAGCCATAGTTGAGGACACATGTGTTCAAGAAGGCTGATCAGTAGTGCTTTCCTTGCTCCAGATTCTGTCCTTAGTTCCTAATTCCACACCCCAAACTTTTTTCATAGCTGTTGCAACTTTCCAAACCATTGCTGTGCTACAAGAGTCGATTCTGAAGCCCTGCCCCAAGTTTTAAAGTAGGACTTCTGAGTTCAAAAGTTCTGACCCTGTGGAAATTCCTTGCTTCACTCTAGATTTGGGTTTCAGTCCTAGCTGGTGGTTATTTTAAATGGGTCTAGTCAATCTAATTGGCCTGCTGGAGGAGATTTTCAAGCCCACCTTCCGTGAGCAGTCGGGTCATGGTGAAGGAGTTGCAAGCATGCTGGACAGCAGTTGGAGCCAAAGATGTTGCTTGACCAAGCATGCCGAATCGCCAGTGCTAGATTGCCGGCACTCATTCAAGACGTCCGCTTGCTGCGCCTTGTGCTTCTGCGTTCATCGAGGTGATGGGTTGAAAGCGTATCAGTTTCATCTTAAGATTGCAAAGTTGCTGAAGCCATACTTCAGGGCCGTTCGCCAGAAAAGGAAGAGGCAAAATGAGGAAACAGCCCCAGCAGATGCCAAGAAGAAAAAACCAGTGTATCCAGAGGCCCGCAAGTTGTTGGACAGCGCCATGATCATTATGCGTCTGAGCACTGGCAGTGATGCGGTTTCTGGAAACAGTGAGGCTGAGGCTGAGCCTGAGCCATGTCAGGGTGTATCTCCAGCTCCATGGGGTTCGGTGGCTCAGAAAATTCTGTGCAAGCAAGGCCTGGGAACTGAGCATCGGCCCTCTCAGGAGCATTGGCTTCACATTGGGTACATGAACATGACCACACACATGTTCAGTGTTATGCAGCTTCTACCGATTTCACCGAAGGACAATGACGCTACTGGCCAGGATGTTGTGTCGTTGTCTGCCAGGGTGTCCACAGGTATTCGTGCCTGGCGTTCCATGGAGTTTTTCAAGCAGCACCTGGACTTCAATCTTGTTTGGCATGTGAGGCTTTACAGGATTCTGTCCACAGACAAGTTTCTGACTGCTACTGAGATGGCGCCTTCCATTGTTCAGGCTCGAGTTTGTGCAGAGGTCCCTGAGCTTCGTTGTTGGCAAGGTTGGAGTGAAGAGGAGAAGGCTTTGGGCAGTGGCCATCAAGGCGGTGGTGGAGGGGGAGGTGGACCAGGGGGAGGTGGACCTCCAGGTGGGAACAGCAGGCCAAAGCCTCCCAAACCACAAAATCAGCTGGAAGATGCAGCTGAAGAACAGCCGCATCCTGCTGCCGGCATTGGTGATTGGTCAGATGACGAACAACCAGTTGGTGCAGGTGGGCCTGTGGATGCTGCTGCGCATGCACATGAGCTGGAGCTCATGGGTCGTGCAAGTGATGATGATGAAGTTCACTCATTGCCGTCAGATGCTTCAGTAGTGGATGATGCCACTGTGGCCGAACAAGTTGCTGAAGCCCTTGCAGCAGAAGCAGAACCGCTGGAGGCAGCAGGGGCAGGACAGGCTCTACACCTCCCTGCTGCTGCTGCTGCTGCTGCTGCAGACGACATGCTTCCGCCAGCTGATGTTGCGCCTCCTCTTGTCCCAAAGGCAAAAGCAAAGGCCGCTCCACGTTCTGGAGGTGAACTGAGTGGGGAGGCTGTGTTGCGCCTGAAGGTGCCTGGAGGTACACTGGTCTATTATGAGCACACCAAAGATGTGACAGCTTATTGTGATAGACACCCAGAATGTCGAAAGACAAGAACCACTCGGCCAGGGAACAAGCGAGGTCAAGGAAGACCGCTGGGTTTCCTGTTGGCTTGGCTGGGCAAGGCAGCAGACTACACAAATCAGAGCACTCACGTACACAGGTGCCGTGTGACTTTGGAAGATCGCCGTGCAGGCCGAATGTTGCTGATGCTTCAAGAAGGGTGGGAGACTCTGGGAAACAAGGAGCGACCACAGAGAGCCGATGAAGCAGAAGAGGAACCTGAGCATTTCACATGACCTGCAATCCCTGGAGTCCTTTGGAGTCTGGAGATTCTGGGACTCTGTAGTAACTGTAGTATCTATGAGTCTCTGAGCATTTCATGCGTTTGGCTTGCTCTGTTATTTGGGCTGAGCCTGGGGCCTAGAGGCCTAGAGGCCTAGAGCTCTTTGAATCGAATTCCAGAAGTATGCACTAAGTCACTATGCAATAAGTGGGTTCCTAAGTGGATAAGCCATTTTGCCATCAGCTACATGTCCCTTCCATATGCCATAGATTTCCTTCTGGAAGTTAACAGAAGTTCTGGCCCAGAACAGTTGTGCAAGCTGGAGTTGAGTTCAAGCAACCTCCATGATGTGCAGTGCAAACTTCAGGTGACATGCCATGTGTTTGAATAATGTCTAGTCTAGTTTGTTGGGTTCATGTGCTTGGTTCAGGCTATGGTCCAGACCTAAGGAAGAGTAGTTACCTTCCAAGTGGCTCATTCCGATTGTTTCAATTCAGATGCATTCTGACTGGTCTGTACTTGTAACTTGAAAAACTCAACACTCGCGAGTTGCAGAACTTGTCTCTCCCCAGCTTTTTCAGACAGCGAGAAAGCGAGAAGTTTGGAGCCTCAGAGTCTCTGCTCACTGAAGATTACTCCAATATTACATGTACTGAGTACTGTGTATGGGGTGGGGAAATGGGCCATTTGAATACGCCCTAGCCTACTTCGCAGCCTGAAAGCAGGGATGGGGCTGTGTCACATGTGTCCAACGCGAGCCCGCGCTGCTTTTTCGACAGTGTGCTGATGTGCAGCAAAATCAGCTTATGACTGTGGAGCAGTGTCACAGTGTAGCCAGAAACGGTGGTATCCCCCGAATGATACTCGGATCAATAGCTGTCAATAGCCAATAGCCGTAGCCTTCTCAAGATTCAAGATCAGTATGATTCAGGCATGGGTTGATGCATTACCCTGCAAGAAGATTTGCTGCTTGATGGCTGCTCAGTCTGCGCTCTCTAGAGTCTAAAGTCTAAATACCAGGGCTACCAGGGGATGGAGACATTCCTAAGCCCTAAGCAGATCCAACTCAGTACTGATGCATGTCAGTGTACGATGTGACATTGTATGGATTCGAATGAGCTTGCAGGGTTCTGTATGGTGTCTACTTTTCCTTCTCACTGGAAGCATGCGTGGAGGGAGTCATGATTGGATATGGCATTGATGTTTTGGCAGGATCTACCTCAACTTCTTCAGGAAGGACATCTACACGAGCCAGGACGCAGAGCGGTTCAACAACATGGTGAAGGCTCCATGTCTGCTTAGCTTGTTGCAATCTACTTGGCCCAGTCATCTTGTGATGTGAAGATTGATAACTGGTGCTGAAAATTCCTTCTGGTCTTTGTCCGTGGTTGTATGGCAGGGGAAGGGGTTTCTCGTGTGGGCAGACAGACTGAGACACCATTAAGGTTGCATGATAGGGCAGAAGGGTCAGAAGGGATCATGGCAGGCATTGCTGCCTTGTCAGGCCATACTTGCTCGACAAGCTGAAGCTCCTCCCCGCAACATCGAGACGCTCCTGTTGGAGCAGAATGATCCGAGCCTCCAGGATGATTTGAGGAAGTGGACCAAGGCTGGCCATGCGTCAATCAAATTTCAAACACAGCTTCCCAAGTACAGTATAGTGTAGTAAGTGTAGTGTAGTAGGCATAGTATAGCTGCAGTATTCAATAGTCAAGAGGGCCAACAGGGTGAAGCCATTGATGTGCTAATGAAATTTTCTTGTCAATTCAGTAGGCAGTATGCATTTTGTTCGCGTGCAAATCATGCGTCTTCAGTTGTTCACCTACCAGTGGAGCTTCTGCAATAAGGTGGAGCCGAGGTCTCTTTTGGAGCTTGTTTGATGTATACCATATGTTTCCTGTGTTGGGCCTTGGGCCTCAGTGTTTGCTACTTACCCATTTTGAAATCATCACACAGACGGCGTGTGTATAGTGCAGTGTAATGTAGTGAAGTGCGGGTCAAACCCATTTTTCCCGTTTTAGGTTAGGTCGGTTAGGTCCAGGGGTTAAGCTGGTTGCCATGATGCCAAGAATGAAATCAGCAGACTTTGGTGAGTCTGCTTTGCATAAGCCCCAGCAAGAGGATTTTTGTGATGCTTTCGATGAGGCCCAGACTCATGAGTTGAATGTCCACCATGATCATAATCATAATATGTGGTAGTCACTGGTAGTCATGGTGTCATAGACACAATAGCTAGTTACAGCTAGTTGCCCATCCTATGTGCAGTAGCTGGGTTGGCTTGGGGTCTCCTGTAGTCTGCTTCCCTGTGCTGTCTGCGCCCCATTAACTTTGTGATTGGCAATCCTCTACTCTACTCTACTTCAAATCATTTGGGCTTCTTGGATTTTGTTGCTAGCTGCTAGCTAGCTGTTAGGGATCCATAGAGCCATCCTGCCATAGTGCCACAGAGTTTGTCGCAACTCCACAACCATGCCCAGGGCCTAGCATGAACAGCACAGTTTTTGCAAGGCTCCAGTCTCATAATATCAGAACCTAAGAGTAAAAGTTTGCTTGGGCTTCCAGTCATGGTGTTCCTTCCTATGCAATTTCCAGATTAGCAGAATATAGTTGTAGTTTGCAGGCCAAGGATTCCAACCAGCACGAATGCGCAAATATTTTTGAGGCAAAAAGCTTTCGAACCCAGGTTGTTACACATTTTACTCTTATTCATAAAATTTTGCAGCCAGAGGACTGCTTTGATTTTTGCACATTTTTGCGTAAACTTTTCAGCCAGGGCATTAAAAATTCATAAATTTTTCATAAATGTTTTTAG